ACGGAAGGGGGTTAGGACTGTGCAGGAGGACATGACCCCAAATGGAGGCAGTCTTGACATTTCCTCCTGGGAAATGCAGGACCCGCCCTGGGAAAGATGGAGTCTGGTCAGGAAACACACCCATTTCCACTACAGGTACTGGTTCTTTTCACTTGTGTATGAAAGTTAAAAACGTCTTTTTCGCTTTTAACTTATTTCCGTTATTACTGTAATTACGTGTGAAAAGCTTTTGCACAATTAAGCTCTATTTTCACTTTCTTTTTGGGATGCTTCATTTCCACTTTATTATCTCTTTAACAACGAAACTGGCCCACGTGTGATAACATCCTTATATTGCGCCAAAGCTTATAAATCTTGCTACGGCTTATTTTATGAGTATGTCTAATTTTCGGGGAAACACGGTAATGGTAAGCAAACTCATATCCAATAAATTGCTTTATAAATCTGAATGCATGTGTGTATTTTAAACATACATTACAAATGTGATTGATTTTGGGTCACAATCATAAGAACGCAAGAGCTATGCTGGATCACACCAAAGACCTATCTAGTCAAGTAGCCTGTTTCCCACAGTAGTCAATCAGATGCCTTGGAAAAGCCACAGTCAAGAAAGGAGAGCAAGTGCAAACTCCTTCCCTAGAAAAAGGCATTCCCCAGAAAATGGCATTCATGGGATGTGCTGCTTCAGGTACTAAATATTGCACCTAACAGCTATAAATAGCGTCACCTTTAAAATGGTATTTGTTCAACGATTCTTTAATGCGACTTGTTAATGGCTATCATCATATCCTGTAAAATTAAAGTCTGTAGTTTATGCTTTTTGTTTAAAAGGTTCCTATAATCTTTTCTGAAATACAGGAGAAAAATTATAATTAACTAGAATTGTAAAACAATTCTGAGAAATATCTGAACAACATTAATTTTTTAAAACGCCAGGATTTCATAGGATGGAGTCATGGCAGTTAAAATGCTATCAAACTGGATTATTTCTGCAGTGTGGATGCAGCCAGTGGAACACGCTCCCTCGGAGAGTGGTGGACTCTCTTTCTTTGGAAATCTTTACACAGGCTGGATAGCCATCTGTCGGGGGTGCTTTGTTTTGTATTCTTGCATAGTAGCGGGTTGGACTGGATGGCCCTTCAGGTCTCTTCCAATTCTATGATTCTATGACTCTTTACTATTCAGCATAAAATTAGGTGTATTCCTAGGCATTAATTAGTAATCCATCCATCTAGCATGTGGCCTTCCTTTCTTCCTACTTCCCTCCACC